TTTTATCATAGCGTAAGACCTCACAAGTTAGACTTTGTTTTTCATAATTAAAACTACAGCTCATAATTTCAAATACTTTTCTTGCAATTACAACTTTACCTCACAGTTTCAACTTATATCTCACAATTCCAATTTTAATTTTGTAATTTCAACTTTACCTAACAAGTTGTATTTTTATTTCTTATAATTGCGAATTTAATTAATTTCAACTTTATAACTCATCACTGAGACATTTACAGTTTCAACTTTGTTTCTTGTTACTGCGAATATCTCAGTTTTATCTTTATCATAATTTCAGACTCATTCTAAATACGTACACCTATGTACATTTATGGAGAGCGTCGAATACATGCCAGAAGGTATGTTTTTTTTTTTGGAGTTTTTGTTTTCGTGAATCCACCAGAGGCCACTGCTTATGCTTAGATCTCAAATTTCTCTTGCAAGTGCCATTCACATCTGCTGTTCTCACATAAATCCACCAGAGGCCGCTGTCAACTGACTGACTGACTGACCAATCAACTGACCCACCCCTTCTTCCTTAAACCCAACCAATAGTGTTTTCAAAAGCACTGATTGACCCACCCGCCCACCTACTTTCCTAAACCCAACCAACAGTGTTTTCAAAAGCAATCGAGAAAAAGAAAAACCCTCCCGTCAGCCAGTTTATTACCATGTTTTCAGATTTTACCACATTATCACTCTGTTATTTACTGGTTTATTTTATTTTTGGGCTTTTGTTTTTTGCCTTACCTGCTTTCTGGAACCGTTCTTTGGCAGACTCAAACCCTGTTGTCACGGTCAACTCCACTCCACGTCACAAGTCCATCAACGAACAGCACAAAACCAGTCTACACAGAGGTAATTGGTCAGCTGGTATGCGAAGACAGGAACGACGTCATACCGCTCTGTAGCATTTGTATTTAAGACAAAATGCAGCCCTACATACTTCTGGCTACATAATTCCTGATCTCCAGAAATATATATAGGGCTACGTTTTCAGAATAAGCCTATGTTGCATAATTTAGCTAAACATTTCAACATTTCTTAAAACTACGACAATACAGTATCTACCAATTTCAACAAATTCATTACATTTCAACTAATTATTACATTTCTTGTAATAATGACGTTTTATGTCATAGTGTAACATCTCAGAACACTTTACCTTTATTTTATCTCACAATTTCAACTTTATAATTTTGTAATTACAACTCAGACATAGTTTCATCTTTCTTAATTTCGACTGCCGTATCTCACAATTTCAACTTTATTTCTCATAACTGAGTCTTTGGGCTCTATTTTGACGATCCAGCGTGAAATAGAGAGAATGAGCCTCCTCATTCTTTACTGTCACTTTCTCTCTTTCATGGATAATGAAACGTGTTGTACGCACAGACATCCATTAGCCTATACATACTTAATTTACATTAATTTTATAACAAATCTAAGCTTGTTTTTCATAAAACAAATATAAATATGCATATAATAATTACTAATGATAATAATAATATTTTACAAAAGCAAATTATCATAAATTAACTGAAAAAGCCCAACTTTATTTCTCGTAATTGTGACTTTATATCACAATTTCTAATTAATTTATTTCTTATAGTTTCCTGTAATCCCAATTTTAACTTAATTTCTCGTTAGCTGCGAGATAACTGCGTTTATTAAAATAAGGCCTTTTTTTGTTGTTTTTTGAGACATTAATATTAAACACCAGCAACATATATTGGGTATATGCTGCAGGCTTTTAAAAAAAATAAACATACACTTTTGTCCGTAGCCAGAGATTCAGTAATTGGCTAAGGGGAGTGTGTAATTGCGCAGTGGTGTGGAAAGCCATCTGACAGTGATCTACAGGACTCCATTAATTGCCATATGAATAAACCCCAGTCTTTTTCTGCACTGCTGAGGCATCAGTGTGAGGCAGACGGGTCAGTCCGTCTTTACCGGCCCACGTCCTCACTGAGCTCATAATTACTAAAACCTTTAATTAATCTTGCCATCACAGGGTAAATGCAGCGCTCACCATATAAATGAATTATAGGATAAGTGTGGTATTGTTAGTGTGCAAGGGCCAGTAAGTGACTGCATGCATGTTGTGGCCCTTAAGGTGCGCATGTGAGCTAAATGTGAATTATTCAAGATTTTATGTATAACTAAAAGATTGGTTAAGGCAAAATGAAGGTTGTTAAGCTGATGTTCATTGATAATGTCTTCCCTCAATCGCAGACGGGCAACTCATTTGTGTTTGTAAATGCATCTTTCCACAATTTAAATAAGATATACAGTGTTTAGCATATATAATTACAATATATATTATATTATATAGTGCATATCCTACTTCTATTTTTTAAATATATTTATTATCTGTTTTTTGTCCTGTCTCTGTAATTCTGTTGCACAGTAGAAGCTCTGTCACGAAAACAAATTCCTCGTGTGTTTGAACACACCTGGCAATAAAGCTCTTTCTGAATCCTATATATTAATATTTTATTCGAATTATTTGCGATATTATATTTATGCATATACATAATCAGTAATGAAGCCAAATTTGGAGCGAATCTAACAAAAAAGACTTACAATAATGGTCCAAAATCTAGTACACATAAATTTTGTATGGAAAAATATTAAATAAAAACATTTTAAAATTGGGGAGAATCAAGAGAAACAGAAAATATATATAATTTATTTAATTTATTAAAAACTTGGTTTTTAAATTTAGAATAATTTTATTTAATTTAATAATAATTTAGTTACATTTTTTTGTAAGTAATTTGGTTCTGCAGTATTTTGCTTGAATTCAAATGCAATATCAAATGTTAAAGATGTTTCATTTAAATGCAACAAAACATATTGGCTATATTCGCTGAAAAATAGATAAAAAATATTCATTTTCAAAATGGGGTGTACTTATTTATGCTGAACAGTAGAATGTTTATTAAAAATCAAATACATTGTTTGATGGATGATTTCAGAGTATGATGAATGAGACTGAATAAAGTATTAATAAAGTATAAAGAATGGATTTAATGAAATATTTTAAATAATTATTTTATTCAGTTTGTTTGCCAAAAGAGTTTATTATTAAACAATTGTAGATAGACAATAGTTATGGTGTATAATTTCCTGTATTCTGTAGTTCAAACTGTAGAGTATTGTGCTAAAAAATATCAAGATCATGAATTTGATTCCCAAAGAATGCATGATAACGTAACCTTGAATATAGTGTAGATATGGAAAAAAGTGTCTATCAAATGTATCTGTCAGGGTTAAGAAAATAATTGGAGTCATCTAATATAGTGCACCTATTTTATGATGAAGGTAGGGTTAGTTGTCAAACATGACAAGCCAGAAATGTCTAATCACTGCAATAGAGATCCAATCATTGGCTCTTAAATATTTGCTTGCTTACTTTCTTTGGCTAAACAGTTTATAGTCTAGTCAGTTTAAGCTTATCCTGCTCACCAAAGCTGCACTTACTTAATCAAAATATAGTACAAATTGTAAAATTGTGAAATGTTATTGAATTATAAAATAACTGTTCAAAAGTAGTTTAGAATTTAATTTAATCATTTATTCCAGTGATTATAAAGAGGAATTTTCACCTTCATTACTCCAGTCACATGACCATTCAAAAATGACTCTAAAATGAATTATTATTATTATTATTATTATTATTATTATTATTATTATTATTATTATCATTATCATTATTAATGCTAATATATTAGCTATTTTTATTATATTATTACTAGCCATAATGACTGAAGTATTAATTTTATTTGAAACTACATACAATAATTAATAAATAAATATTGAATATTTCATTTCATTTAATAAATGCTGCCTTGATGAACAGAATAATTTTCTTTAAAAACACAAACATAAAAAACACTGACCCCAAACTGACCAGTAGTGTATATATGCATCTTACATCATACATACAGCACATCCGGAAAGTATTCATAGCGCTTCACTTTTTTCACATTTTTTAATGTTGCAGCCTTATTCCAAAATATTCCCAAACTGATGACTGGTTTCCAAAAGCTTAGGACAGGGGGGATGAGTTTTTTCCGAGAGTTTACCAGGAGACAAAACAAAACGGGTAATGGGTCTGAAATACGGGAAACTCTGGGGAAAAACGGGAGTATTGGCAGGTATGCAACAGGCTAATACCATCCCTATAGTGAAGTATGGTGGTGGCAGCATCATGCTGTAGGGATGTTTTTCAGCAGCAGGAACTGGAAGAGTAGTCAGGATAGAGGAAAAGATGAATGAAGCAATGTACAGAGACATCCTGAATGAAAACCTGCTTCAGAGTGCTTTTGACCTCAGACTGGGGAGATGATTCATCTTCCAGAAGGACAATGACCCAAAGCACACCGTCAATAGAGTGGCTTCACAACCACTCAGTGAATCTCCTTAAGTGGCCCAGCCAGAGCCCAGACCTAAGTCCTATTGAACATATCTGGAGAGATCTTAAAAAATGGCTGTACACCGTCGCTTCCCATCCTACATGATAGAGCTTGAGAGGTACTGCAAAGAAGAATGGGCAAAAATACCCAAAGACAGGTGTGCCAAGCTTGTGACATCATATTCAAAAAGACTTGAGGCTGTAATTGCTGCCTAAGGTGCATCAACAAAGTATTGAGCAAAGGCTGTGAATACTTATGTACATGTGATTTTTCAGGTTTTTTATTTTTAACAAATTTGCAACAAATCAAAAAAATCTTTTTTCACATTGTCATTATGGGATATTGTGTGCAGAGTTTTGAGGAAATAAATTAATTTAATCCATTTTGAAATAAGGCTGTAACATAAAAAATGTGGAAAAAGTGAAGCGCTCTGAATACTTTCAGAATGCACTGTATGTATCTTATATATAATGTAATCTTACTATTATTTTATCTTGACAACAATAGTGTTCACTTTCTCTTCATGACAGAATTGTCCTTTTAAGGTGAACTTTAAAACTTGAAAAAGAAATTTAGAAGGCACGCATTATAATAATTTATTTCTGACTAATCATTTCTGTACAACAAACAGACTTGAAGGAACTTACAGCTTAAAAACCCTGAGTTCTGCTGTACTTTTCTTTCCCCAGCATATGACTCTTAATGAACGATCAGACTCAGTGTCCAAAAGCAACAGCAACAAATCAAAGCAAAGTTTAAATTGTCTGGATCAGATCTATTGCTTTTAATACCTCCACACGGTCCCTTGATTCCATCTCCTATAGGAGCGGACGGCGCGCTGACCAACAATGAGTTCTTGTGTTTAAATCTAATTGAAGTGATTGATGAATTTTCAAACGTGTTTAGCCGAGTTCCTGTGTTTCACTGGGAATAAGTCAGACTGAGGAAAGTGGCCGCTGTGACCCTGCGTATGAGAGCTGACATCCAGCCACGGCAGCCGCAATAACTTTCCCTCTCGTGTCATCACTAAAGCTCGGTGGGAAGGGGAATATGTTGTGACATGTCCAGATTCGAGCCCTGAAATATAAGCTGGCAGTTCTCCACCAGCCTCCCTTTCAATCAACAGGCTCGGCTGACTGGGACTCTATGGCAGGTTTAGTGGATTGAGGGAGGAATCGTAACATTGTACTACCATCTAGTGGTCGGCAGAGGGACTGCGTGGCCTCTTCTGCTGCTGGTTGTTTACAAGTGGCATTTGTTCCTAATTAAATGATGCACTTGTTTCAGCACTTCTTGTGGAGAGGGACTCGCATCCACAGTGATACAGGATGGATTCTGGATTCTCTTGTAAGCTTCCTCCACTCTAAAAACAAAGAACAATTTGTTATATTTACATAAGTCTTGGTTTTGGGGGAGGAAATGTCTTTTTTAATTCTCAGTAAATTATTCCTGAAATAATTAGTCCTACTGCAAAATTTTACTTCTTTTACAAATATTTCCAAGGCGTCGCTTAACGAAGAGAGATTTTTTTCAACACAATTTTAGAAATAATAGCTATTTTCTAATAATTTGATTGTTTTGTCTTTGCCATGGCTAACGTTCATAATATGTTTCTACTTATTTTGCAATATCCAGCCTAAAGTCTATTTTAAAGAATTATCTAGGATATTAACTAACCAAGTTAGGATAATTAGGCAAGATACTGGATGACAGTGGTTTGTTATGTAGAGAATTGAACAAAATATTTATTTATTTATTTATTTATTTATTTATTTATTTATTTATATCAATCTCCGCCTCAGCTGTGTCAGATAAACAGCACAGTGACATACATGAAGGAAGCCGATCTCATGCAACGTTTGTGAGAAATACTACAGTAAGAAAATTCACAATGATTATTTGATGTATTTGTTGTGGATTTAATTCAAACCTTTCGATGAGTCACACACTATGTCATTACAGACACACACACACACACACACACAGTGTGCGTGTTTAACTTTGCACTCTTTTTGCATTGCAAATGTGACATGATACACTTTAAAATCCACTGCTGTATGGATATTCATAATATGTAAAATCACCTGACTTAACGTCCACAAACTAGGATTAAAGCGTCCTCTTTTTTGATTGTACTGACACTATGCGGCTGTGGTGATAAAGATGGTAAAATCGCTGTAATTCATTACAAACATGCTTTGTTTTAAAAATGTTTTAAACTTGTTAAACTCATTCTTGATCACATTTGATGATGATTGATGAACACAGCGAGCTGAAGAGATCTTTTAATCCTGGTTGCTTTGCGCATGTCCAGTCTTGTTGATATGATTATACGCGCTACTATGGAGACATGTTTTTACGCAGCTGTCAATCAATTCGGTGGATGGGGAAACCACACTCGTACATCACGTTGCATTGGGCATCAAAATGGGAGTTATTTGGATCCTATTTTAATGTCAGGAAAATGAAAAAAGAGACTTATTGTCTTTATTTCTCCGCAATATGACTGTGAACACACTATACCTACACACAGTTCTGTCCAAACAACTTACAAAAGATGATTTTAATCATAGTTTCTCTTAGAAATACCATAGTCACCATAAAATACATAGTTTTATAATCTACAATAGACCCTTTTCACAAGCCTGTTATGGCGCGTTTAACAGCCATCAGCATCTTAAATCCTTGAAAGTTTTTAATATTTTCATATTTTAAAAAACGTAAGAACATTTATATGTATTTATGTGTGTAGGTTATCATATTTCATTTCAAATTACAAAAAAAAATTTGCCGCTTATGCGAGAATTCTAATGCAGCATCTATGGGACAGGACAGTAAATTTGGCATTATTCACTCCTCTGGTATCCGTCATCAGTCTCACACTATTCTTTTCCTTTTTCTGCTAGTCTTTACAACATTATTGTGGAGTTTTTCTTTTATTATTTGAGCAAATAAGATTGTAAAAAAATATATTTGTTGTATTCTCCCATTTACTCCCCTCTAAGTTTTCCCTACTATGAGGATTTCCTATTTACAGGGTCTATTTACAGTATTTTACAAAAGTTAGGCATAATTTAAGGAATAAAACACATTGTGATAAATGAATTCTGTGTGATTCTGATACACAAGGGGTTTAATGCTGGTAGTGTTGTAAATGTTGTTAATTTCAACTGGCTTTTCCTTTATTTGGAAAAAATATATTCACAGGCTGCTTATCTTTCACTATACAGACAGTGCTCTTGTTAAAGCTCTTTCATTCTTATATGATTGCACTGGTGCCACTAACTTTCGGTTAGTCTCACCGACTTACAACATGATAAAATGACCCTCCATACTGACGAATCAACGGAGAAAAATTTTTTGAACTACGTAACATTTAATAAATGCATGTAGCATTTTAATATATCTCACAATTCTTTAGTATGAAGATTTTAAAATGGTCTAAAGTTTTAATTTGGTAGAGTTAAAAAATGGTGGCATTGCATTAATTTGGGTGCTTTGGACATCAGTGGATGTCAGCTGACTGCTTTAAGACTTCAGTGGATGCATAAAACAAGTTTGGTGTGTCAAAATCTGATTCATGCAGTATACATTTATTGTTTAAAAGTGACCAGTAATCTGTGGCCAATATTTTAGATTTAGATCTGCTAAGATGAGTGGGACAAATTGAAAACTTTTTGAAGCTGTGTTTTGCGAAGGGGTCAAATACTTATTTTACTCATTAAAATGGAAATCAATTGCATTGCATTGTTTGTTTTATTGTTTTTTTATATTTTTTTATTTATTTATTTATTTATTTATTTTTTTGCATTGCACTGCATTATTTTTGTTGCTATCCTGTCCCTCAGATTTAAAATAAATTTACCATTACAATTATAGACAAATTATTTGTCCATGGGCTAACATGCAAAACTTAAAAAGTATATATACATAAATTTTTTTTCTAATTAATTTTTTATACAACATTTCTATCTGGTTCTTGAATCTGATTGGCTGATAGCCGTGCAATATTCTGCAATAACAGCACTCTTACAGCCTCTTCACCCTTCTGTATTACTCCGCCCACATAGAGTAACAGTAGATCAATAATCTTTTACAGTTTGACAAATATTGCTGCTGTGGGAAAACATGATGTACTTTTGAGGCTTTTTTAGGTGAGAATGAAGTTATTTAGATTGCAACTATGCAGTTTATTTATAAGGATAGTGTCTATTTTGAATATTTATAATTTCAGAGATCGGCGGCCATCAGCCTGTCAAACTGAGCAGAACAAAGGCGCCACGAGATGGGGACATAAACCGCAAAATAAGTCCTTAGGGGAGAAAAACTCAGCGTTCTTTTCATATTTTAAACTACAGCTGATCAAATCATTATAAAATACTCTTTTGTATGTTGTTGTGCCGTATTTATACCAAAGTAATCGTGTTTGCTTTGCTTTGGCTTTTTCAGGGTTAATTATTGTGATACTCTGACTGCAACAGAAAAACTAAGATATCTCTGTAGACTGATGGCATTTCATGCCGTTCAGCCTTATTATCTTAAAATGTGAGCAAAATCACCTGTTTTGTCATCACTTTAGACATTACGCTAGAGAATCATTCAAATACTAGTTTTAAAGTGACATGTTTTTAAGCAACGGTTTCTGCTGTTCTGATGTCAGCTGCAGGTGTAAATGAATGGTGCAAGAAAATAGTCAGCACCTAGCCTCGAGCCAATGCACACCTCCCACCAGTGCCTATATATATATATTTTTTTTTTATCCGTCCATCATAGATTTTCAGTAAAAAATAAATATATATATATATATATATATATATATATATATATATATATATATATATATATATATATATATATATATCTTTTTCTTATTATTTTAATACAATGTTAAAAAATATCTGAAAAATATTTGATGTTTCTGGAATGCAATTTGACAGGACGACATTGTAAATTTTTTTACTAAATTCTTTCCCCATGAAATACAACAACCCCACTGTGTTATGAAACGGCTAAGCCAAAAATTGACTATTAACTAAATATTACATTGTTTAAAGTCACTTTTTAAAAAAATTATCTAAGGGCATAATGCCTCCAAAAATGAAAACGTACATGTTATATTTTCAGTCACAAATAATACAATTTCCTTGAAGTGCCCTTGAAACCTGTATTGCATTTTAATTGTAAGTAATTAGGCCAACTGGTATGCAACCAGTCCTAAGGATTCACAACAAAATCTGATAACAGGGTTAACAAGGTTATCAGTGTTATCGAATACAGTAAACAAGTGTGTTGGGATTAACCCTAAAAGATAAAACACTCTGACTTTCAACAGGTTGACCTACTTGAGTCTGAAGAGCTGATTGATTTCTAGCTCAGCCTCCTCAGTGGTCTTGTCCTGTCCTCTGTCCCTGAGTCTCCGCACTCTTTCCTCAGGACTGACAGTAAGCAGCAGCACCAGGTCTGGCTGGAGCAGGTCTTCTGGCCAAACGTAGAGCTCTGAGTCTGGCTTTGGCAGGTTTTCAACCCTACCACCAACTGCTGTAGCAATGGCATAGGCTGCTGTGCTGTGCCAATACCTAAAAAAAAAAAAAAGAATTAACATACATAGATTTTTGTCTTCTATTCTATATAATTGCAAAAGCAACTAATTAAAAGCACCTTGGTCCTTAACTAACTTGTTTTCACTTACATGTTCTGTAAAGTGATTGAAGTGATTAATTTCAATCCCTGCATTGTTTATAAATGTTGCAAATTGCATTATGTATTAAGTACGATTTCAGCATGGGGACTATAACTGTAACATGCAGACTGGCTGTTTATTTGTTCCAATAAATCACATTGTACCTTTTTCTGCATAATCATATGTTATATAATTAGTAACAGATCCACACTTACTAGCTATTAATTAGCAGCAAATTAGGAGTTTATGGAGGGGAAAGTTGTAGTTCAGGAAAGTGTGGCCACTTCTTTTCTTTTTTTTAGTTTAGTTTATGCAGCTGTGAACCATATTTTTACTTGAGTAATATATAGTCAGCTTAAAGGTGCTGTATGTAAGTTTTTGACTCATAAAAATATCCTAATTTGTTTGCAGATATTTAAGAAACATGCCAAGTGAACATAGGCCAACATATAGTGAACATATTTTTCTAAGAAACAGCACTAAAGTCAGATATTCTGCTTTAAAAATACCCATTACATATTTGCCAGTTTAGCCAATTATATTTCAGCTCCCTAGGCTGCCTTGGTGGGAAACTGCATATTTCATATTTCATTCATTCATTCATTCATTCATTCATTCATTCATTCATTCATTCATTCATTCATTCATTCATTCATTCATTCATTCACTCACTCAATCAATCAATCATTCGTTCGTTCATTCATTCATTCATTCATTCAGTAAGGCTCTCAAAGCATGTGTCTGTGACCAAAATGGACCTCCGGTGGACAATAGCAGACTCCGAAATGTGACGCAGATTCAGACTTGTTGTTATTAATTATCAAATAATATTAATATTATGAGTGTAAACATTAGGTGAGCAGGTTACATTGTAACCCCGTGTTCTAAAAACAAGCAACATGGCGTTTATGTTTGCACGTTACAACAAAACACGATAGAGATTTAAATATAGCCATTCAGAAACACAAAATATGCACTCACAAAATGGTAAGGTTTATAATCTAATTATTACATATTTAACCTCTTTAACAATGTTAAATTTACATGTTAAATCACTAATATGTGTTGATTTACAGCTCTTAAGTTCAATTTCAAAGAGGTTATTTTATTTTCAAGATCTGAGGTAAACTATCTGCTGCTGCTTTACGCAGTATGGCAATAAATGGCATGTAAAATGGCATTCAAACTCACATTATTAGCATTCAACACTGAATAAAGCACATGAGGTGCACCTAAGGTGATCATTGTATCCTGTTGTTCAGCTGCAAGAAATAGAAGCCGTTCCTAATTTATTAATTTGAGATGTTGGTTAAAACAAAAACTCCTTTTAATATGGAGAATATACCTTTAATCTTGTGCCGTTGCTTTTATTTAGAACACAATTTAAATCAGCCTTTAACATACTGCACCTTCAAGGTTTGAAGAAAATGGGTGATACTCACTCTTTACTCACCCTCAAGTGGTTAAAAACCCTTATGATTTTTTTCTTCTGTAAACCTGTAGTTTTTGACATATGGAAGTCAGTGGTTACAGGTGTCCAGCTTTCTTAAAATATCTTATTTTGCATTCAACAGAAGAAAGAAATTCAAACCGGGTTTGAACAAGTGTAGTGAGAGTAAATGATGACAGTAATGTATTTTTTGCATGTCAAGTTCATGTCTTGTAGTTTATTTTATATCACATTTTCAGTTTGTTTACTAATCTGCACTTTTTTAATTTAACTAATTTCTTTATGGATATACCTTATATTTACTTATATGTGCTAAATCTTTATATGCTCCACAGCATCACCAAACCACAGCTTGTTCTTGTGAATGTATTTGTGTCTCGCTACCTGTCTACTATGACAGGAGCCCTTAAGGACTCCTTTGCGATGTGGGTTGCAGTGATGTAGTTCCCCAGAGCGTAAAAGGCCCTGCGGATGAGGGGTGGTTCTGAGTCAAAGCGTTGTCTGAAAGGAGCCAGGCACTGGGGAGGAGATTTCAGCAGGGTGGCATTCAGAGACTGCCGCAGGGCCTCTGTGAGAGTAGTTTTACCTGAGTGAAATCAAGAAGAGTTTATGGAAAGAAGTCAGAATTTTGAAAACAGATTTTTAATGTGCTCCTATAATGCATCTGCTGTATTAAAGTTCAGGTCTCATCATGTACATGGCAATATGAGCTATTTTCTCAGCATCTTAAACAACGTTTTCAATAACTCATCTCTCTAATGCTGAGTTCAGACTGCTTGATTTTAGCCTCGTTTTTGACTCGCCAACAGGTTTTGGGAAATCGGCTGACAAATCGGTACTCATTCATGTAACAATCACATAGTGTGAACTATCAAAGACGCGATCTGAGAGAATCGACAATCGTGAGATATTTGGCATGCTAATTATCTGGGGCTGTCGGTGATGTGAAATCATGCTATGTGTTCTGACTGAAAATAACATCGGTGATCACCAATGAGAGAGCAGCACCCACTAGTATGGGTACCTGCGGTGCAGTGGAAGGTTGGGGGGCAATGTCGGTTCTAGGGGTGGGCCAGTGCCCCCATGTCAACAAGCTTGGCCCCCCTTGGCCAGCCTAAATTCGGATGCATATTTTTGTGTCAAAACGCCACAGAGAAGCGAGATCAGCCATCGGTGGCAGACTGTGGAGATTTGACTGAGGTCTCTTTCGCTCTCTCGGGCACTCGCTCCTTCTGCTTTCGCGCACTTTCTTTCTCTGTGATGGTGCTGTGCACATCAGTTCCCCACATTCATCAGAAGTTAACCCCCAAATTGACACAGGTATTAAGATTCAACTTCAGTCATGTTCATCTTGTGAAACACGATCAAAATGCCCACTGTTAATTATATTGGACTTCTGTTTTTATATCAATATTTGTAATATAGGAAGTCCTCAGCTATGCAGAGGCCATTATTAATCAAAAATTGAGTGTACATAGTTTTGTTAAGAAATGCAGTCTTGAATTTACAAACAGTCGGCAAGTACCGAAGAACAGATGTAATACATTGATCAAATGTAGTTTTCAGTCACGCTCATGTATAAGTAATATTCAACTCGTTTAGTTGTGTCATTTTTGATTTCCGTCTTGACATAAAGCACGAGTCTTCAAACGTGATTTATTTACAACGCATTTTTAAACATAATAGTTTAAATAAATAATTTCTAATAACTCCTTTTTATCTTCCCCATGGCGACAGTTATAATATTTTACTTGTTATTTTGCAAGACAGTTGGATTCAGATAAAGTCCCTTTAAGTATTTTATAGTCTTTTATTCAGATTAAAGTGTAATTTGAAGACAAAATTAGTTAATGTCAACTTATTCATTGTTGCTCTTATAGTTGTGTAAATTGCTTCCTTGTCCTCATTTGTAAGTCGCTTTGGATAAAAGTGTCTGCTAAATGACTAAATGTAAATGTAATGTTAACTACGAAGGCTGGAAGAATTATTTTGTAACTGATTTGTTGTGTATACCAAAAATTATACAGTAATTATTTCTTAAGAAGGCTTATAATAATGGCCTTAATTTATTTATTTTTGTATTATTAAAAACTCAATTATTCAAGAAATAAATAATAAGAAATAAGACTTATTATGACTCCAGAATAATTAATTTTTACAGGATATACTGTGAATTTTTTTTGTTTGTTAATCACATGGGAAAAAATCTTTTAAATGAACAGGGGGGACAAAATAAATTTACTTCAACTAAAGGCCTATCTGTTAAAGTTTACCGGTGCAACAATGTGCCTTGATGTACTTGAATGTTAGAAATGTTTTATCCTACACCAATACAGAGTTACTTGTCAAATAAATTAACAAGGAAGATTACTTTGAGTTTAAGTTATTTAATTACCCTGTTTATGAAAACTGCAGAATGAAAAAAAAAATTCTTTGAATGAGTAATTTGTGATGTATGTTAAAACGTGCCCCCCAAGGGTACAAGTGGCTCCTGCCTGGCCCCCCAGTTACTCTGATCTAGAACTGCCATTGTTGGGGGAGAAGTTAAAAGCGCTATTTTCTGTCTATTTGGACCTAAGAAATGAAGGAGAAACTAGTGTAAATTTGCAGCACCCATGTTTTTTGATGTGTCATCTAAGCAATACCACAAAGAAAAAGTTGAAAAGAAATGGCTAATTCCCTTCAAAAGCCAGGTGAGCAAAATAAGCACAGTTTCTCCCTCACTAAAGACTTCTTTCTTATTATGTAGTTAATAACAAAATATATGCTACGTGACCTTTCGTTGTTTCCATGTCACTTCTCGCGTGTGTTTGGTTGTGAGACTTATTTTGTGGATTGAGACAACATTGTTGACCCAAGATAGTCATGCAGTGTAAAAACATCTGTAAAATTTGTGCAGTCTGAACTCAGCTTAAACCTCCCCTATAAACCTCTTGGTGTGTTTAGACTAGCACTACGAGCACAGCAAGTGTCTTGAAGTAAACGCACAATGCTGTAGCTAAATTTAGGCTCCAGAGGCTTCCCCATTGCTTGTAGAAACCAATACAGACTCATTGGTCAAATATTCTTCAACAGTTTAGTGAAACTTCAAAAATGTTTAGTGAAACTTCAAAAGCATGTTTGACTGCAGTGTTCAGGTAATATTAATACTACAGGTCCAACCACTTTTATTCCATTTTACACAAATGATATTTACAAGGACATATTACTAACGAATAAGGATTAACACCAAATAAAAACTACAAAACAACTTATAATTTTGTAGTCTAATAAGTTTTCCTCACCTGTCTCATTTGGTCTTTTCGTATTTGGTGTAGTCAGTTTGCTCACTTTGTATGATGTTGTGTTTGTGATACAGTGTGCTAGGGTTGAAATCCAGTCAAGCCCTGCTCCACAAAAGGTTAAAAAGTGGTGCAAAATCAATGAAAAACTATGTGGCCATGGTGCACTTTTCTTTTATGTTTGCTTTTAAAAACAATTTTTTTGGTCAGTGGTTCGCTCAATATTATCTGGATGCAGACTTAGATTTGCAAGCTGAGACTGCATATCTCAGACTTGCAATGTCAGACAATATGCACTCAACGAAGCTAGTGATGGCACTGTGAGAGGTAGGGTTAGGGGCGGGGTTAGGTGTGTAAATTAAAAGCATTGCAACTGCACCTGGTCTTCATCCAGACCCCTCTAGGTTCGCTATTTAATCTATACAACAAGTTCAGCCTTACTGTGAACATGTACAAGAAGGACAAGTATCAGAAACTAAAAGAAACTTTACCTTTTTTTTTTCAGATTTGCAAAAATGCAGACAGCGCCCTCTAGTAGAGTTAGTCATCTGAATCGAGCAACAATACATACCCAGAGCAATGTATTTTACATTGAGACATGTATTACCAATGAGCCAGGCTGGTATAAATACAAAAAGTGACAAGGCTAGTTTTATTGTATCATTTTGAGCTCATGTACAACCAGAAACATATTTGTTTAACTTTTTAATTTAGTTTGTCTGCATTATAGACAGGAGCTCCCTGCCAAAACTGTGGTCTGAAATGAAAAAGCTGTGTTTTCTTGACATGTCAACAACACAAACCAAATTCTTCCAGTCCTCAGATACAACAACTACATTGTTTCAGAATCAATGCAGTCATTGTTCACATTGTTCACATATTATGCAGTTGTTTTACATTGCATTTGTGCAAGTAGTAAAATTGCAATTACTGACTACTTGTTTCTGGCAGATTAGACTGAATATATATGAATATATATATATGAAAAAATGAATATATATATATATATATATATATATATATATATATATATATATATATATATATATATATATATATATATATATATATATATATATATATATAAACAAAATAGGGCCTTTTAACAAGATGTGATATGTATTATGAATGTACAGGTTTCACTGCATTCTTTTATTAGCAGAGAAAAATATTTGTTTAAAGGTTTAGTATTTACCTGTAGCATCCAGTCCTTCAATCACAATGACTGGGAATCCATTACCCCTGGTTGTCTTCAGCTGTTCATCTACAAGCTTTAGCACTTCCTTTGACTCAGGGATAATGTCAGCGCACTGCGATGGGAAGAATATGATGTATTGTTTAACATCAATCTGGGTAGAGCACTGAGTTGCATAGTAAATAATCCCCCAATCTTTATTGTTCTGCTTTCATTTCAACGCTGATGTTGCTTTTTTTTTTACTTTCTTTTAGTTGTAACTTTGCTTTTCCACTTGTAAATAATAAGCAAAAATACAGTAGTAGTATTACAAATGTATAAGCTGTATTATTAATTAATTCAATCATTTTCCTTCAGCTTAGTTCCCTTATTCATCAGCGGTCACCACAACAGAATGAACCGCCAATTTATCCAGCATATGTTTTACACAGCGAATGCCCTTTCAGCTGCAACCCAGTACTGGGAAACATCTATACACACTCAGTCACACATATACACTATGGGCAATTTAGCTTATTCAATTTACCTGTACCACATGTCTTTGGACTGTGGGGAAAACCGAAGCTTGGAGGAAATTCACACTAACACAGGGAGAACTCCACACAGAAATGCCAACTGACCCAGCCAAGACTCTAACCAGCAACCTTGTTGCTGTGAGGTGACAGTGCACAGAGTTTTGTATTTTACTAAACCTTATGTGATACTTTATTCCTAATTTTAAAAAGACAAATTTTCAGTAGACATTATTCCATTCTTCATTGCCACGTGTTCCTTCAGAAAGCATTGCAATATGCTGACTTGGTGCTCAAAAACATATATTAATATTTAAAACAGTTGCAGCTTATTTTGTGGAATTTTTTTTTTCAATTGATTATTTAATCGAATTATTAAATATCACAATAACTAAATTTTTTCAATCAGTCTGTAATATTCATTGTATACACAGACAACATATTTATTTTCTCTAAATATCTTTACAGTCAAATTTGATTTACTATAACATCACAGTTCCAACATTAACATTGTTAACATTAGTTAATGCACACTGAGTAAATATACATTATTTAACTTAAATAACATTAACTAGCATTAACAAAGATCAATAAACACCTTAATAAATGTATTACTTATTGGTTTGTTCATGTTAGTGAAAATACAATAATTAACATTAACTAATTTATCATTCTTTTAAAGTGTTACCTTTACTTATTTATTTATTTTAGTTAGTTAAAGCTATCCTTTTTCACCCTTGCAGAATAAAAAAGTATTAATCTAAATCTACCTTTATAGTAGTAGTATTGCCTTTTGTGTTATTAATTTACTGTTGCCCATGACTTTTATAACTTTACATTTATTCATACCATTACTTTAATATTTATTTTGTACAATAATGGTGGCACTGTTGCCTCACAGTTGGCACTGGATGAACTGAGTTTGCTGTAGTGTATGAGAGTGTGTGTAAATGTGAGAGTGTATGGGTGTTTCCCAGTACTGGGTTGTGGCTGGAAGAGTATCCGCTGTATAAAATATATGCCAGAATAGTTGGCAGTTCATTCCGCTGTGTAGACCCCTGATAAATAAGGGACTAATCCGAAGGAAATAAATTAATGTTGCACAATCTGCTTCCAAAATGTCTCTGAATTCAACCGTACCTCCTGTAGAACCTTGTAGGCTTCATCCATACAGTAGAAGACGTCAGAGTTGCTGATGCTGAGTGTGGATGGATGATGCTCTGCTGCGGCTGCAGGTTTGATGTACTGCTTCACTGACTCCTCCACATGATTGACAGCTGACCACATCTCCTGCCAGCAGTGCTGACCCTCGCGCTCGTATGAAAACACACACACTGACACCTTCTGCTGCTGTAGTGACTTTAAAACTTCCTTTGAAAGACAGGTTGTGGATTTGTCTCGTACAAAAAACCCTTTAAGGACGCTGTTCCTGACGTTCGGCATAAAAGAGGACGCTTCAAACACATCGCAGCCTCGCGTTGATAGTTTGTGTTTTATCTCAGCGTACATTCGCGCCTTTTCAATTCTGTTCTCACTGTGGACGTAAAGCGAGAAGAGTTTCCCACAGTCTCCGAAAAGCTGCTGATGGTCGCCATGAAGAACTTGTGGGCTTGAGCTTAGTGTGAAATAAAGAGGTTTAGTGTGCAAATCAAACTCCACCGCGAATACACGCGAACACAGCGGTCCACAGCGAAACATGGCTCTCTTTAGCATTGTGATGGACTGTGTCGGGGAAATCTCATGTCACTGAGCTGGAGCACTGTTTACAGAGAAACGAAACTACACACGAAAACGAAAGTAGTACAGCCGGCAGGGTCCAATTGCGTAACGAGCTTCCATGCAAGTCTGTACTAAAACAAAAAGTGCAAAGGTAAAAAAAAAAAACGTGCTAAGTAAATCAGCGTAGGTCACACCTTGTATAAGTTTCTATTCAGCAGTTTAGTTACATTTGCAAAGAATGCAAGTTAAGATTGTAGGCTACTTCACAAGTTAAAGTCTATTTCTTTGCTAACTAAAACCAGTGAAGTAGGTTTTGCATGCTCATAGCTTGATAATGATAATTGCTTATTAATTCTGGTGTTTATTAAAATAAATATTTTGTGCTGTAAGTAATTCATTTGTTTTAACAAATATCCAAAATGATTTAAAAATGGGTAAAACCCAACTCATTAGTTCCAAATGACTAAATTAATATAATAATACAATAATCAATAATAATAATAATAACTATTAGTAGTAGTAGTAGTAGCAGTATAAATAAAGTTGTTAATTTTTAGTCCAAAATTACTAATTAGAAAATAATAATAATAATAATAATAACAATAAAAAAGTATATGCAAAGAATGCAGGTTAACAAGAAATGTAGCTATTTATTGTAGGCTAACTCACAAGATAAAGTCTATTTCTATGCTGACTGAAACTAGCTAAAGAATCAGTGAAGTAGGTTTCACATGCTCATTGATAATTGCTTATTAATTCTGGTACTCATTAAAATGAATACTGTGCTGTAAATAATTTGTAATTAATTTGTTTATACAAATATCCAGATGATTTTAAAATGGGGCAAAATGCAACTCAGTAGTTCCAAATGACTAAATGAAAATAATAATATAATCAATATTAGTGGCAGCACGCTGGCGCAGTGGGTAGCACAATGGGTGGGTAGCACAACAAGGTTGCTGGTTTGAACCCCGGTTGGGTCAGCTGGTGTTTCTGTGTGTAGTGTGCATGTTCTCCCTATGTCTCCAGTTCCCATTTATTAGTTGGTAATATAAATAAAGTTGTTTATTTGTTTAGTCCCAAATGACTAAAAAATAATAATGATAATGATGATGATAATAATAAAAATGATAATAACAATATAATATAATATAATATAATATAATATAATATAATATAATATAATATAATCAAAGCCTATAATAAAAATAATAATAATAATAATAATGATCGTTTTTGTTGTTATATTGTTGTTGTTGGCTATTTCACTGTTCAGAATGCTGAGACAAACCAAATATTGTAAATTCATATAATCATAAGCCTATAATATTATAAATGGCCTGCATGCTTTATGGGAGCGGCAGCCTATAATGAAAATTAAATGCATCAGGTGTCTATAAGAGAAATGAAACTCGTGCATAACAGCTGATAGTGTTTATCTTTCGTTTTCCGTCCCCCCGAGCAAGAAAAGAAACTGATCAGAGTGGCAACTTGACACTGCCCGGCCCCGTCCCGTATAAAAGAGGCGTGTGTTCTCCGGGCTTCAGAATCGACACATCTTCATCATGGTGACATCAAACCAACTTGGCTTTGCTAGACTGTTGATGCAGCTTTGTGTAAAGAACGTTCAAAGTTTCTTTTTAGCGCTGTTGAGATGGCTCTCCATGCAGGTTTCTGGCGCACATGTGCAACAAACTCCTGCTAGAAAGATCAGCCGCCCAGAGAGTCGCACCAGTAAACAGAAAGAGGGATCCAGAGCTCCGTTCACAACTCCAAGCAGTGTAAACTACCATTTCACCCGGCAGTGCAATTACAAATGCGGCTTTTGTTTCCACACCGCGAAGACTTCTTTCGTCTTGCCTATTGAAGAAGCAAAGCGAGGCTTAAGACTGCTGAAAGAAGCAGGTAAACAACTTGTCTCTTAAAAGTGCAGGTGATTAGGGTACAACAAGTCAAATTAATATTAAGATAACCTATACGTTATAATTATAGCCATTTCCCCATGCAGCTGAATGATTACATTATGATTTGCAAACTCTTTCAAGCTTTTTTGAATAGCCAATGCAAATAAGGTGCTAATTTGCATACACTACTTTTATTATTTTTAATTTACGTAATCCAAAACATATGGATTAGGCGAAGTCAGGTTAAAAACTTTAATGTTAACATTGATGTTTTCTTCTTTTTTTCTTTCTTTCTTTCTTTCTTTCTTTCTTTCTTTCTTTCTTTCTTTCTTGACATAGTGCCATATATCAGGCAAATTCTGTGCATAATAATGTTTACTTTATTGTACTTTTTGTTTAAGTATTTAAACATTTTATTATACAGGAATGGAAAAAATAAACTTTTCTGGAGGAGAACCCTTCGTTCATCAGAAAGGCAGTTTTCTGGGAGAGCTGGTGCTGTACTGTAAGCAGGAGCTGCAGCTGCCGAGTGTCAGCATTGTTAGTAACGGCAGTCTGATCAGAGAAAGCTGGTTCCAGAAATACGGTAAGAATCTTTCATGGCCAGCAGAGGGCGGCAGAAGTTACTTGCAAACTTTTAACACAATTCACCCCATTGTAGTTCATAACAGTGTTTAGCTAGCTTCACAAAATAGTTAGATCTGCTTAAAAAAAATTAATAAGCTCCATTTAATAGCCGAATTTAAGAATTTGTTGTCATTTGAGATAAGCATTGCATTGTACTGTCAATTCCCTTATGAAAAATGAACAAAGCATTATATAGTTAACGTATAGTAACCATGTTTTTAGCAAATTAATTGCCTTTTGAATTACATCATACATCATGATTTTTTTTATACAATTCATATTTAATTTAATCTTATTTAGATTTTTATGTCTTTCCTTTAAACATTTTCACAGAAACTGGTCAACATTTAAACCTCTCTAAAATGTTTGTATTTGTGTGTGTGTGTGTGTGTGTGTGTGTGTGTGTGTGTGTGTGTGTGTGTGTGTGTGTGTGTGTGTGTGTGTGTGTGTGTGTGTGTGTGTGAGAGAGAGAGAGAGAGAGAGAAAGAGAGAGTTTGTCATCTCCTAAATTGTCAATTTATTTTCCACCTTTATTTTAAAGGGGACTACTTGGACATCCTGGCAATATCTTGTGACAGTTTTATTGAAGAGACCAATCAACTTATAGGTCGAGCACAGGGCAGGAAGAGCCATTTGGACAATCTACATAAAGTTCGTAACTGGTGTCGAGAGTATAAGGTGGCTTTCAAAATCAACTCGGTCATCAACACATACAATGTGGAAGAAGATATGACCGAGCAGATCACCGCTCTCAATCCAGTACGTTGGAAGGTAAAAATAATTTTTTGCTTTTTTTTTAAGCAATTGTAAACAAACTGAAAAAAAAATGTAAGGTATGTGTTGAACATTTCAGTGTTTCTACATAGAAATGTCCCTTTTTATTGATGTCACTTGTACAAATTGTAATGTTACAGATTAAAGTTTGTAGTCTTTAATGTAGATTACTTATTTAAAGTAATATATTCTCACTATTGAATTACTTTGACATTTTCTGACCTATGAACTGTCAAAGAAAAGAAAAGAAGAGGGGAAAAAAGAATGAATCCATTATCAACATTGTTGAACTTCAATAACAATAGATGAATCAACAGTTTTAAACACTGTACATTTACAGATTTAAGCCTTAAGCTGGATATTTCACTTCACTTAGAGCTGTTACACACTACATGGAAGGTCATTTTCAAAAATCCATGATATGGGCTCTTTAATTAATTCAAACTACATATAATCCTCTCCTGTCATTGTAACATTTTGTCAAATTTCCCAGCAACTTCTGATTGAAATAATTACTAGACCAGTTTAATATTCAACATACAGATTGACATTTCTCCATCCTTCACTCATCATGCATTTTAAGACAATATTATAATGTCCACGCAGGTCTTCCAGTGTTTGCTAATTGAAGGTGAAAACGCGGGGGAGAACAGTCTTCGCGAGGCAGAGAAATTTGTCATTAGCGATCAGCAATTTCAAGACTTCCTGGAGCGCCATCAGAGCATCCAGTGTCTGGTTCCAGAGTCCAATCAAAAGGTAATTTTGAGGCTCACAGCGCATACTTTGACTCAATTCAGATCAGCATTTCAAAGCAGCTCACAATTTGCAAGATAAAGTGGCTTCAATTTATGGGTAATACTGCAATAAACTTTCAGTTTGAATTCATTACCAAAGCTTTTATGGCTTATAAGTGTGCAGTTTGTGTTTGGAATTTAAATAAGCCTTAAATGGATGCCAGGGACTTGAGTATAGAGCATACTGTAAAACTGATGTAAATTGGTTATTTATTTATCTATTTTTCTTTGTACAGATGAGAGACTCTTACCTGATTCTTGATGAATATGTAAGTGGTTCATATTTTCTTCTCAGCAGCATCCATTAAGTTTTCTTCTCATTACTGTGTGAAGTATTCCTTATTTATTATTAGATTAAGTTGTCATTGGATTTTTTTTTCTCCGTATATTAAATTACGCTACTATTACAGTGTAAATGATTCCTATAAATTGCATTATGTCATCATATCAGTGATGGAGGGATTATAGATAGGGATATAATAAGGCCCGCAGTAATTTGCCTCATTCCAGGCATCAAATGACTTTCTGTCCCTGGATAATCTCTGATCTCTATTAATAACCATGCTGTCTATGCTACATCATCATCTTCGTGAATAGATTTTTTTAAATCCTCCATATCTGATGCCACAGATGCGCTTCTTGGATTGCAGAGAGGGAAGGAAAGATCCATCAAAGTCCATTCTGGATGTTGGTGTGGAAGAAGCCATCAAGTTCAGCGGTTTTGATGAGAAGATGTTTCTCATGAGAGGAGGAAAATATGTGTGGAGCAAAGCAGATATGAAACTGGAATGGTGATCGTCATTAATTTTGCTTAATTTAAATTCTACAATATTGTTACAGATTATCCATAAGCTGATATAGGTGCATAAATGTTGGTATATTCCTCTTGTTTTATTGCACTGATATAGATATATACAGATTATTAATATATATAGATAAATAGGATATTTTAATATCTTTTATTTTGTTCAGTATTTGCATTGCAGTGCACTATTTTTTATTCTTAATATGCTTTTATGTAATTGCTGAGGAAAACTAACAACAAGTTAATAAACTTACATTGATTAAGTGCACTTTAAAAGCATGCAAGCACTTTGATTAATTAGTAAATAAGATTTCATTAGTTTGCATGTATTGCACATTTTCATTAAAGGAAAATGTAAAGGAATTGTTCCCATTTTATAGGGAAATCTGTTAAGTGTTTGTAATATTTAATGAAACTTTTGGTTTATTTTTTAATATTTAAAGTGAAAATGTAACTTTATTGTATTTGATATTAAATTAGTTTTTTTTTTATTTTGGAAATAAATATTTTTTTTACATTAACAACATCTTTTTGCTCATTTATAGCCAATATAATGGTTCGAGGTTCTCAAATAAGAAAATAAGGCTATCATAAATAGAATAGGCCAATGCCATATTTTATTTTAAAAAGATGTTTATGATTTTAAAAGACTTTTCCCCAAAATCACTGCTCAGTACTGTCATATAATACATTTACATGTTCAAACTACGTTATTATAATTAATCATTTTAGTTTTCACATTATAATTTTTAAATAAATCTTAAAAAAAAAAAAAAATATATATATATATATATATATATATATATATATATATATATATATATATATATATATATATATATATATACAATAAGTATATATTGTGTTTTTCTTCTTTTTGAAATATTTCCAAATGATGTTTAAAGAGCCCATATTATACATGAAATAGGGTCATATATTGGTTGTAAGGGTCTCCAACAACAGTTTAATATGCATGCAAGGTCAAAAAACACTTTCATGGTCTTATAATCTGCATTTATTTTTACCTAATTATCCCAGCGACTCCTGTATGAATCGTCCAGAGATTCATTTGTTGCCAAACCCCTGTCGTGATTGGTCGATTGCCTTCAGTCAAGAGAGTGAAATGCCCAACAGCTAATCAGCAATATAGAAAGTATTCACAGTTCATACACGCTCGATAGTGTAGGCCTGGACTTTAGCTGCCACACACACACAAAAACACACACACACCTCCGGACGACAATGCTCCCGCTTCCGCCCGCACTGCCAGGTTTAGCCTGAACCCGACCGCTCCCGCTTATATGAAGAATTTGTTGTCCCGGTGCCCGACCCGCCCCGTTTTCTGCCCGCCGCGCCCGATCCCGCTAAAGAGCGGGGGAGAACAAAACCAAAAATCACCCAGCTATACAGTCCAGACAGCCAAGCTGTCTGTATAAACACACACACAGCACCAAGCACACACACACAGACAAAGTTCTCTCTCTCTCTCTCTCTCTCTCTCTCTCTCTCTCTCATACGCGCGCACACACACACACAAGCAACAAGCAGACACACAAGCAAAGCTCTCTCTCTCTCTCTCATTCGCATGGCAATATCTGTGATATTGCTAGACAGCCCGCTCCCGTCCCAAATTAAACCCGTTACCGACCGCTCCCGCGATTTATTCGGAAATTTATTCCAGCTCCGCAGAAATCTGGCGCTGGGACAGCCGCGGGAATGCAGACCTCTACCACGGAGCTCCGTAAACAAAGCAGCACGCGTCGCGTTTTTAACGTGACTTTGCACGCGATAAGAGAATATAGCGAGTTAACCTGATACAGTACACGCGGTTACAAGTAACAAATCACAACTAAATACATTTGCAAGCTAGAGTCAACGAGGAAACAACTTTAATCGCACATACTTACACTTGAGAAATGGAGGAAGAAAACCATCCTGACGTCCATCAGTAAGTTACTCTTTACTGATCCTTCCTTTAACAAACGCAGATGAAGTTTTCTTTGTACCATGTAGTTTCCAGAAGTTTCCAACTGCTTGGTTATAATGCTGAGGTTTCATCTTTGGGTGGAGACTCAATATAAAATCCATCTGCAGTGTGACTTCAATCGACCGGCATGTTTGTGTGTGTGTGTTTGTGGGTGTGTGTGTGTCTGGGTTTCTGCGTCAGAGGGCGTGGACTCAGGTTTGAAATCTCCCGGGTTTGCGCGTGCACGTGAATAACTTGGTTTTGTTCGTACGTCATGGCAAAACACCTAATGACTCGGTATCAAGGCGACTCGTTTGAAGCACTATGAGTCGACTCTTTTATAGATGAATCAACCGTTTTAAACACTGTATTCTTACAGATTTAAGCCTTAGCTGGATACTTCACTTCAATTAGAGCTGTGTTACACACTACATGGAGGGGAATTTTCAAAAACCCATAATATGGGCTCTTTAACAGAGCAAGGATATTTTCACAATATGTCTGAAAATACTTTTTCTTCTGGATAAAGTCTTATTTGTTTTATATTTATTTATTTATTTATTTTGTTTTGTTTTAAATTTTTTTAAACACCACTTTAGGGACAAATTTATTTGCCCCTTTAAGCTATATTTTTCCTTAATAGTCTACAGAACAAACCACTGTTATACAATAACTTGCCTAATTACCCTAACCTGCCTAACCAAATTAACCTAATTTAACCTTTAATGTCACTTTTAACTGTATAGAAGTGTCTTGAAAAATATCTAGTCAAATATTTTTAAATAAATCAATTATTTGAGATGCCTTAAAATTTCACTCACTGAAATTACTGAGGTGACGCAGTGGCGCAGTAGGTAGTTCTGTCGCCTCACAGCAAGAAGGTTGCTGGTTTGAGCTAATTTGAGCTGGCTCGGTTGGGTCAGTTGGCGTTTCTGTCTGGAATTTCATGCTGGCATGTTCTCTCTGCGTTCGCGTGGGTTTCCTCCGGGTGCTCCGGTTTCCCCCACAGTCCAAAGACATGCAGTACAGGTGAATTTTGTAGGCTAAAATGTTTGTTGTGTATGAGTGTGTGTGGATTTTTACACAGGGCATCCGCTGTGTAAAAACATGCTGGATAAGTTGGTGGTTCATTCCGTTGTGGCGACCCCGGATTAATAAAGGGACTCAGCCGAAAAGAAAATGAATGAATGAATGAAATTATTGAGGCAGCACTGTGGCACAGTGGGTAGCGCTGTCACCTCACAGCAAGAAGGTGCTGGTTCGAGCCTGGGCCTGGGTAAGCTGGCATTTATGTGTGGGTTTCTCCCACGTGCTCCGGTTTCCCCGAAAGTCCAAAGACATGCACTATAGGTGAATCTGGTAAGCTAAATTGTCCGTAGTGTGTGTAAATGTATGGGTGTTTCCCAGTGATGGGTTGCAGCTGGAAGGGCATTCGCTGCGTAAAACATATGCTAGATAAGTTGGTGATTCATTTCGCTGTTGCAACCCCAGATTAATAAAGGGACTAAGCCAAAAAGAAAAGAATGAATGAAATAAAATTAAGTGTTATTACAACAACTGTATTGTTGTTTTCAGTAATATTTTGCATTATATCAACTTGTTCAAGAAGTCTTGACTTACAATATAAGTACAGTCAACTTATAATAATTTAAAATTAAGTTAAACAAACTTACATTGGTTTACATTCATTCTGACATGGTGGTGCTTCACAGAATGACATGCTTAATACAATAAACACCAATACTTAACATCAAGTACACAAACAAAAAACTGGGGAAAAATATTTTTAAAAATTAATATTATTAATAATTAGTAAAATAATAATAATAATAATTAATAATAATCCATTGGTCAACTACATTTATTATGTAACTGAATTGCTTCAAGCACAAAAGTACATTTATAACGATTTGTGGAACATAAGTAATCTACCCAGCACAACTCCTGATTTGAGGCACTTTTAAAGATTCTGTCCATATAGATATGTTACACTTTTAGTTAAAAACATAAGAATTAACTGCATTTAAATCGGCCCGTAGCCAGGGGAGGGTTCGTATGATTCGAAAGATCACCCCTCTACAAAGTTCAGAATTTAGCTCCTATACAAGCACTTTTGTCACTTTTTTTACAGTATGCCCTCATAAATTGTGAATATAACCAATAGAAGGCAGCTTTAAGACAAATGTAATGTTTCATTATTCAAATGGACAGATTCTGACTGAGGAAATGAACTTGCCAGTTTGTTATTTGCCAATAGGTAGGCCCACATGGAACCTGAGCATGCAGAAATCTGTAGTTTTCCACAGATTTTTAGCCCATCATTAAGTTTATTCAAGTTTATTTATTTTATAAATTGAATTGAATTTAATTATTTATTCACTTGTGTAACATATTTATTCAGTTTTTTAATTAATTTCAGTAATATTATTAACAAATAAGAATATGTTTATATGGTTTATTTACAATACAGTTTGTATATTTTTTATATTTATTTATATATATATATATATATATATATATATATATATATATATATATATATATATATATATATATAAGAGAGGACTTTCTTTGTTTACCAATCAAGGTGATCTTATTGAATTTGCATTGTAAACATTCAATCAAAGTTATAAAAAGTCTTATTTTTTATTTCATATATTTAAGTTTTTAGTTATGATAATCTCAAAATCATTTAGCATTAATCCACAGATCTTTTACAAAATTCTGCGCAGAAATATGTAAAACGTCCACAGATTCTTTCAGGCCCTATAGGCTACAGTTTTTAATTTAAAAAAAAAGTTTTAACACATTCCTAATTGTTTTTGTTTTGTTTTGCTTTTAAAATTATAATAATTGTGTATTTTAAAAGCAAGCATATTTTCATATTTCTTTGCTCAACATTTTTTTATGAAAAATTAAAAAGAAAAAAAGAAAAAAAGCTCAACATTATTTATACAACGGTTATAACATAGTTTAAATGCACATTTGTAAATAAACACATTCATGGGAAAATAGAATTGAAGACAGACAAAAATGTATGAAATACTTTTGTTGCATCAAATAATGTGGTTATTATAATCACCATCTGACAAGATGATCCAGTAAGATTGGTGTTTAAAATGTCACTAAAATGCAGTATTTGAACCTCATAATTTAATAGAAAACTAGGCGAATTAAGTCCACTTTCTGAGAAAAAAATAAAAAAGAACTACTCCTTTCAATAGGCTGGCTACGGGCCTGACCTCAACACATCTCCCTTTATTTGAAAGGGTTCCAAATATCTTTTTCAAGAGCACCGTGGCAGTTTGTGTGTATTGCTCCCAACAGAGGGCGCTAGAACTGCACTTTTTCTTCTCTCTCACACAAACACACACGCGCGCACGCTCACCGCATATATAGACATACAGGCTGTCTGTACAGCATAGCACTAGGAAATACTCCGACTAATGGCGTCTTCACAGCGCGTCCGACAGATCAGCTGATTCTCATATCTGCCTGCAAAACTACATGAACACATAAGGTAAAACCCTCTTACAGTTTTGGATGGCCATGCTTAATGTGTCCGTTTTAAACTACAGTGTTTTCTTATCCACTGTACACGCCAGTATATTGACTTTCAGTAATGCAGTAGCATTTGTGCAGCGTTCATCCTTTTAAAGGCAAATGTAAATATCAGCAGGTCAGTATAGATCATGAAATGTCGGTTTTATTTTATTTAGCAACGCTTCACGACCTACGTTTAGCCATAACGGGCAAATCTCCACTTTCTTCCTGGATGTGCTGCCCCCGTGCAGATTTGTTTACCCGTTTGATGTCTAAATATGGCTGTTTGCTGTTATTATGTAGGTGCATCTTTTCTATCACGTTGAGGTTGGCTGGCTTTTATATTATTTTGTGCCTCCTATGAAGATAACAGTTCTTGTCATCTTGATGTGCGAAAAATGCTGCTGTGGTGCCCCCAAAAAACTGCCTAGGCAGCGGTACACTCTGTTTCGGGATCATGGGACCCTTGGCCCGTCCGGTCAGATGATGCAAATATCTGAAATGGCCCATTCTTGGTGTTTTTTTAATGAGTGGATGTGCTTTAGTTCATGTGTCGGTGCTCTGTACGTAGTGTAGGATGGTGGTTGTGTTTCATAGCTTGACAGTAGGTTAAGTTTTGACATTAACAACCCATGGAAAGACAGTAGCTTTGAGTTATGAAGATTTTCAATGCTTTTTAAAAATCTTTTTAAAAAATTTGAAACACTAAGTAGTGTTTGGGAAAGACTGAACTGGGTACCATGGGTTGGAAAAGCTGTATGTTTGATCCAGTGGTCACCAAACTTGTTCCTGGAGGGCCGGTGTGCTGCAGATTTTAGCACCTACCCTAATCAAACACACCTGAACAAGCTGGTCTTACTAGACACTTGAAACATCCTATCAGGTGTGTTGAGGCAAGTTGGAGCTAAACCCTGCAGGGACACCGGCCCTCCCGGACTGAGATTGGTGACCTACTGCACTATGTTGAATTTTAAAGTGTATCTGTTGACATGTCATGGTAAGGGGTTTGTGTTAGGGTGTACATTTGTTTTGAAAGTTGGTTGGAATCAACTGTAAGAGGTGAAGACCTTAACTTTAACATTATATTATATTATATTATATTATATTATATTATATTATATTATATTTCTTACTCACTATCCTTCGGCTTAGACCCTAAATTATCAAGGCTTGCCACAGCGGAATGAACCTTTAATTACTCTGGTATATGTTTTATGTGGTGAATGCCCTTCCAGCCACAACCCAGCACTGGGAAACACCCATATTATATTATATTATATTATATTATATTATATTATATTATATTATATTATATTATATTATATTATATTGTTATATTATAACAAAAAGTGCTTAATTATATTTTAATTACTTTTAATATCAAAATGCCAGTTCATCAAGTCCACACAGTAAGTTAAAAATTTTAGCATGACCTTTCAAAGGGATAGTTCACCCAAAATGACACTCTCAGACCATCCAAGATGTAGGTGACTTGTTTCTTTAGTAGATTTTAGCTGGTATCCATATAATGAAATATAGTGGATGCTCGGCATGGGCCAGTATAAGATTCTGACGGTATGATAACCTTGGATAAAATATTACAGTTTCCCGGTATCACGTTATTGTGATTATTACTGTGATTACTAAAATAAGTTCTTTTTAAATGTCCAAAATACTTTGGACCAGTAGCTTTTAATGTAGAGTTTTTTTTTTCTGTTGGAGATACTGTTGCAAAAAAAACTAAATAAAATAGTTGTGAAAAAAATGTAAAAAAACAAACAAAAAACAAACAAACAAACAAGCAAATAAAACTTACATATACCTAAGGAACGGTACAGAAAACTGGCGGTTTTAAAACCTTGAATTTTTCAAACCATGGTAACCACACTTATCACACTGAGAAATCATAAATATCAGTGTTAGTTAAGGGGAAATATCAGTATTAGTTAAGGAGGTTGTTAAAGTTAGCATCTTTCTGTGAGAGCCCTGGTTTGGTTTCTTTACAGGGTACAGTTGCAGTTTTCCATAACAGTTTCAGTCAGTTTGCAAGAAAACAAGGAAAACTCTTTACTCCCATTGGTCTGTTCGAGTAACTAGTGGCTGCAATGCTTTGACAACACCACATGTTGCTAACTGCAAGTGTTTACATATCCCAGTGCCTGTGTCAGCCTTCTAGTATTTGTCAACACTCTACATTCATTAATATGCGGAATCCAAATCCTAATTCAGACAAGATTACTATTTAATGATTTATTCAGAGTTTTACATTTTGCAAAATTCTGAGCAGTCTGAGTGTTACGAACATTTGACATGTTTTTCTCTCATATTCTGTTTTTCTTTCTTTTTTTTCAGATATTAATAATCGAAATCATGACTGATCAAATGAATTCAAGAAACATATGGATAATATAAAAATATATAAAAAATATTACAAATATATTTTATATATTTCTTTCTTTAAGATATTGATAATCAAAAAGCATGACTGATCAAATTAATTCTCAAAACATTTCTGTTTTAATTTTACATTCAGCTTTTTCTTACTTAATACAAATATATTTTCAGGTATGGTGTTAATAATAATATTTTTAAATAAATTTAAACAGTAATTGAGTGATACAACAACTTCTTTACAGCTAAACTGCACTGCATACATTGGATTTATTAATCCAAAATTCTATGACATTATAATGTGACTATGAATTTTAGTTTTATTATACAATTTAGTAATTAATCCATGTTTTCCACAGGCCTTTTGATTTGTCTGTTGAATGTTTTAGCCAAGAATGTGAGCTGTTGTTATAATCATTTTATAGGCACACATACTTTTGAGAAAGTTTTGTAAGTGTGAGAATGGCTCTGTGTTTACAAAGGGGACAGTATTTATCTGAAGAGTGTTATCTTAGTGCTGGATTTGACTATGTGCTTGACAGAGTATTTAAAGCAACTCCATCTGTGCCTCATTCTGCCTTTCGGGAAAAACTATTCTATGCACTTTGAATTTAAAAACAGCATGTGCAATATATATATATATATATATATATATATATATATACACGTACGTATGTCGCATACAGTGCATGGGGTCATTAACATTACTGAAATATTTATTTGATATCATTAAATATCAAATAAATATCATTACTGAATTACAAATCCAGCACTAAGATAACACTCTTCAGATAAATACTGTCCCCTTTGTGAACACAGAGCCATTCTCACATCTACAAAACCTTCTCAAAAGTATATGTGCCTATTAAATGATTAAAACAACAGCTCACATTCTTGGCTAAACATTCAACAGACAATTCAAAAGGCCTGTGGAAAACATGGATTAATTAATAAATTGTATTATAAAACTACAATTCATGGTCACATTATAATGTCATAGAATTTTGGATGAATAAATCCAATGTATGCAGTGCAGTTTAGCTGTAAAGAAGTTGTTGTATCACTCAATTACTGTTTAAATTTAGTTTAAAAAAACTTTATTAACACCATACCTGATAATATATTTGTATTAAGTAAGAAAAAGCTGAATGTAAAATTAAAACAGAAATGTTTTGAGAATTAATTTGATCAGTCATGCTTTTTGATTTTCAATATCTAGAAGAAATATATAAAATGTATTTTTTAATATTTTTAAAATATTTTTATATTATCCATATGTTTCTTGAGTTCAATATATATATATATATATATATATATATATATATATATATATATATATATATATATATATATGTGTGTGTGTAAATAAATATATTTCAATAATGTTAATGACCCCATGCACTGTATGCGACATACAGTTTTGCAACTTCACACAAAAACAGAAGAACAGAGATAAGATAAAAGCGTTAGGCATAACAGTCAGAATGACACTCCCAAAATGAGGACATGTCTTTCCATGCCATAAATAGTCTTTCTGAAGTACAACAGTATTCGCCCTTCAGAAAGTGAAATCAGTGATGGCTTGAATAGCAAACAAAAAACAGACTCTGACTTTTCTCTTTATTTCCATTGTTTACAGTAGCCCACAAATGCTACAGTTCAGCCAAAGGTTGTGTTGACCCAGCAGCAGCAGTAGCAAGCAAATTAAATAATAATAATAATAATAACAATAATAATAATAGTGCAAACATAGTGCTACCCCCATGAAATAGCTTAAAAATGTCAGTCTAGTGAAAAACAATTCTCGTTCAAGTAGCCGATAGAAACAGATTGTGTATGTATAGGGGCACAAGGCAGTAATTAAAGGACTAATCTTTGATTCAAAAAACAGAACCAGCAGCTAGCTTTCTGCAGCTCTCAGATAGTCACCCAGTGAAACTAAGCAAGCACTGCGTCTGGTCAGTACTTGGATGGGAGACCACCATGGGAAAGCTAGGTTGCTGCTGGAAGTGGTTTTAGTGAGACCAGTAGGGGGTGCTCAGCCTGAGGTCTGTGTGGGTCCTAATGCCCCAGTATAGTGAAGGGAAGTCTATACTGCTCTTTGAGCGCCGTCTTTTGGATGAGAAGTTAAACCGAGGTCCTGACTCTATGGTTGTTAAAAATCCAGAATGTCCTTCAAAAAGATTGCATCTTGTCCAAATTTGCCTACTGGTCTCTTTCCATCTGGGCATTCTAACCGTTAGTTATGGGTCGTTCATGAACGATTCGTTCATTTTGAATGAATCTTCAATATGACTCGGGAACTACGAGTCCTCTCAGGGAGTGATTCGTTCATCCGCGTGTGCGTACATTTATGCAGGTGGTATTGTTCATTTCAAGTCTTTTGAGTCGTTCATCACAGAAAGGCAGAAGCCAATCATTTGCGTTTAGAGCCGGAAAAAGAGTTGATCCGTTCACCTCTTGAGTCCTGTATCGGGTCAGAGTCATTCGTTCATTACGGGCCAATAACATGCATTTTTAGCCGGAAAAAGAACAATACCTTCTTAGACAAAAGAGCAGGTAAACATTGAGTTATTATTTTCTCCT